TGGCCTCAGAATCATCATCTCTCTCGTTTTCTCTTTGAATAATATGGATTACAAAAAAAAAAAACAAATTTTCAAAAAAATCGATCATGGATTAAAAAAAAAATCACAAATTTTCAAAAAATTCTATCATGGATTACAAAAAAAAATTCGATCATGGATTAAACAAAAAAAATCACAAATTTTCAAAAAATTCAATCATGGATTACATAAAATTCGATCATGGATTACAAAAAATAACAAACAAAAAAAAACAAAAAATTCCATCGTGGATTACAAAAAAAGAAAAAAATAGTTCGATCATGGATTACAAAAAATTCAATCATGAATTACAAAAAACTCTATCATGGGTTACAAAAAAAGCAAAAAACAAAAAATTCAATCATGGATTACAAAAAAAAAACAAACATTTCGATCATGAATTACAAAAAAAAACAAACATTTCGATCATGTATTACAAAACATTTGATCATGGATTACAAAAAATTCTATCATGGGTTACAAAAAAAAAAAAACCAAAAAAATCAATCATGGATTACAAGAAAAGAAAACAAACATTTCGATCATGGATTACAAAAAATTTTATTATGGGTTACAAAAAACCAAAAAATTCGATCATGGATTACAAAAAAACAAAAACAATTCGATCATGGATTACAAAAAAATCGATCAAGTATTACAAAAAAATCTATCATGGATTACAAACAAACAAAAAAAAAAAAAAATCCGTATGGAATCGCCGATTCACTGTTCGGACTCGCCGATTCCGTACAGTGAATCGGCGATTCACTGTACAGAATCGTCCGGTTCTCTCTAGAACCGGACGATTTCCGATTTTTTAGGCGATCCGGTCCCTTTTCACGATTTCCGAGTCGACTCGGCGTTTTTTAAAACGCTGGATCCAAGTGAACCTTTCTTACGATTAATGTCTCTGTGTCAATTAAAACCTTTCGTTAAACTTTTCCTAACTACCAATCCAATCTAACGGCTGAATCGATACCCGGCTTCTAAATGGCAACTCAGTATTCCAATAAAAAAAAAATGCCTGGTTGTACTAGTACCTAAGCGGATGGGGACGCGCAGGACCTGGGTGGCTCATACTAAAAAGCAAGGGATATATAGCTGTCGAATTATTCTAAGGTCCGATTTTTTGCAAAAAACTGAAAAAAACATATGGTTACATATTTTAACCATAATTTCATACATTTCAAATTAAAAAATCATACTTTGAAGTTTCTACTTCAAAACATTAGGCATTAGACCATTATCCATAGTGCATACCATAATCCACACCCCATACAACTCATAGTCCCCTTCTCGATTTGTACTCATAGTCCCCTTGAAGAATCCATGTAACATAGAAGGGGATCAGTGTGATTGACCCTAAACTTTTGATCGATTACTACTACTACTAGAGCCTTCATACTCTTGAAGCTTCTCACTCGTGTAACTTCTCAATTTCTAAGCCTTCTTACTTTTTGCAGTTTCTCACAGCCATGTTTTCATCCGTGGAAATCAGAATACAGAACTTGGGGCCAAATGCCTAAGCTCAGTTCATAAAACAGGAAGAAAGAGAGAAATGAATACAAGTACACATTCAACATTTCATGATTACGTAATGTTTGGCATGCTTCTCAGGCTTATTTCCAATTGCAATAACCATGCCAACAATTGCAATGTTCTGTTCTGGTATTATATAGACCAGGATGTGTGGCTGGCAACAAGGATACAAAGAAGACCAAAGCCCCAACCATAAAAGCCATTCTTGTCGCTGATAAAAAAAGCAAATTTAAACTGTCAATAAAATTTGCATAACTTTTACCAAGGAAAAAGAAAAACAGAATAAAAGAATCCAGTACCAGTAATTTTTTCACTATTTCTTAACTATCAACAATAAAATAGTACCAAAATGTTTGGTAGTGCCCTGCCCTATAATATGCCAAGTAAATGAAAAGTGTATCATGATAACAACTAAGGGAGATAGAGGGTAGCCTTGTGGTGAGAGGGTTTGGCATTCAAGCATGTTTTTCTCCATTTTTTTGGGTAAGTAAGTGGGGATTTGGGCCCCTAACTTTTTTCTCCATTTTTTGGGTAAGTCAGTGGGGATTTGGGCCCCTAACTTTTGGTGAGAACAGAGTCTAAGACTTCATCATGGGGCTAAATGGTACTACTGCCAAGGCCTCAGCACATCGTCGGCATGCTTTTCTCCATTGTAATGGCATAAGTAACAATTCTCTTTTAATATTTATTCAATAATCAATAAGTGTTTTACTAAATTATAAAATACAACCAGAAAATATGGGAACCTAAGAACTAAGGAGCAGTAAGCATGCATCATAAATCTATGATAATCATCTGAATATGCCTCATAACTCTTAGAGTAGATTGAATATACAACCTGCTCTTTTCATAGTACGATACCAAAATATATTGTAAATTATAAAGAAAGGAAAAAGGAAAAATTTCAACAAATGGCTGTGAAGATGACAAAAGCAAAGCGGAGGCAAGCTTTAGGAGTGAAGAGTGAGCAAGCTCCTAGGAAAATTTTCACTCAAGTTGTGGCAACTGCTAGACTGAATTAATCACTAATTATGTTATTCCACTACATGATAACCTTATCTGTCAGTTCTCTTCCAAGAAAACTGACTGCAGCTAAAAGGAGTAGAAATACATTCAAAAGAAGGCATATATATATATTTGGACACTTTTATACCCTCTTTTTGTACATGAAAATTTTTTTTTAATAAGGGTATTTTTGGTCATTAGGAGAGTGTGACGTCCACATAGAGCACACTAGTGACATTTAATGGTCCATGTTGGTGTCACACCCCATGGGGATGACATTACACTCTTCTAATGACCAAAAAATACCCTTATTAAAAAATTCTCCATGTACAAAACAAAGGTATAAAAGTGTCAAAAATTGTTGAGTACAATGATAAATTACTCTATAGTGTGAGCACACTAATATAACATATA